CTATCCAACTAGTAGTGCCCCACATGTCGTTGAACTTGTCGTTATTTTTGTTTCTCCCTTTTTCATCCTTTTCCCCTGTCTGTGTTTGTGTAGTTTCCAGTGTATGCTGGCCATTTTCTTTGTGATGTCTAATCCACAGCATTTTCTTTATTTCAGAATTGCATTTTTCAGCTTTTGAATTTCCATATCTTCATTGAAGGGTCCCTATTGATATTTTCTATTCGCTGTTCACAATGTTCATGGTTTAAAAAAATTGAACAAATACACATAGAATACTCATTTTTAGGTGGTCATCTGATAATTCCACCATTTTTGTCCATTTTTGTTCTGTTTTGATTAGCTATCTTTTTATTAGCTAATATGGACTTTCTTGCTTTTTTATCTAGCTTTTTAAAAATTATATGCTGGATATTATGGGTGTTACAATTTTGAGTTCTGAATTTTGGAAGACAGTGTTAAATTTTGTTCTAGCGGGTAATTAAATTACATGCATAACTGCTTGCTTTTTAATAAGCGTCTTATCTTTGTTAAAGCAGGTCTAAAATAGCCTTTTGTGTAGAGTTAGATTGGACCTACTTCTAAAGCATGTCATACCTGGAGTCTCTAATTAATATTGGGGAGCTAAACAAAATCTCTTCACTCTGAGTGGCCTGTACTCAACTGTCTCACAGCCCTTCGTACGCTCCTAGGGTTGATCTGTTCCCAGCTATTCTTTGCCTAACCTTTTAAAGTATTCCCCTAAATATGTGTAGCTTTGTATTTGGCCAAAGACTCAAGGTAATCCTGTGCAGATTTCTAGAGTCCCATCTCTAAATAGTTCTCTTGTCTATAAATGCAATCCGACTCAACAGCGCCTTGAACTCTAATTTCTATCTCTTTAGCTCAGTGTGACCACTTTCTTATTTTGGCTTTCTCCTTTCTGTGCCACAGTTTAAAAGGTGCCTTGAATCAAAAAGCCAGCCGGGCGCAGTGGCTCACGCCTGTAATCCCAGCACTTTGGGAGGCCAAGACAGGCCGATCACGAGGTCAGGAGTTCGAGACCATCCTGGCTAACAGGGTGAAACCCCCCGCCCCGTCTCTATAAAAATACAAAAAAAAAAAAAAAAAAAAAAAAAGCTGGGCTTGGTGGTGGGCGCCTGTAGTCCCAGCTACTCGAGAGGCTGAGGCAGGAGAATGGCATGAACCCGGGAGGCGGAGCTTGCAGTGAGCCGAGATTGCGCCACTGCACTCCAGCCTGGGTGACAGAGCAAGACTCCGTCTCAAAAAAAAAAAAAAAAAAAGGCCAGAGTCATCGTGGGCTTTACCTTTTTTTGTCTTTTTCTCTCACAGATCACATTCCTGTGTTACCAGTTGTCCAACTTTTTTACAAACTGTATTTTAGATATGGAAGGCTAGTCCAGTACTCAGTACTAGTTACTCCTCTAAGAACAGAAGCTGAAGTCCAAAGTGCACGTTTTAACACACTATAATAGCCAAATCAGTAACATCTGCTAGTCAGTTTAGTCATAGGTCTCTGGTTTATCATAATTTTAATAAAGCATTCCCTTTGTTTACAACTCGGGGGAATGGCCATTACCGCAGTTCCGAAAATTATCCATCAGTCCCAACAATTTAGCACGGACTAGCCATGGGTTCTGTGGCAGGGGACACTTGGAAGTGCAAGCAGCTGGCATTTAGTTGGAACATGCAGTGGACAGCAAGGCTCCAACTGCAATAATAAAGATGACGAAAATCATTCAGATTTCCTTGGAGAAACATGATCGTAGAGCAAGAACTCAAAACAGGGAAAACACCAAGAGCTAACCAAGGTAGTTACTTGGAAATTTGGGCTTTGAAGCCAGTTATTTACATTGAACTCCAAAAATGATGGAAAAAATTCCGATTCAAGAAGTAACAACAAGCAAGTAGCTAAATTTGGCTACATCCTGAATCAGATTGTTAGTGAAATCAATGAGAGAAGGAGCTTAGGAGTCCAGTTTGGTCATATTGCATCACGTCTTTCTGATAGGAAATTCTTTAGTCTGGGATTGCATCGGAGCGAAATCTTTTTGTCAAAACACCTGAGGGTCCAGCTAGGCAGTCAGCAAATGTAGTCTAAGGGTCACTCTTTCCCTGTAAGCCAGCACTGCTTTACCTGAAAGCCCTGTAGAGAACTTCTTGCATGTGACTTAAGCTATTTAGAAAATCCAGCTAGTAGATTATTTAAGAGTTCGATATGTTAAGTAGCATTAGTGACTCCTTGTTATCAAGATAGCTCTACAAAATACAATCTGTAAATATGACCCATGACTGTATGACACAAAACAGAATTAAAATGCCCCATTAGAAATAAAATGGGCAGCAGTCAAACGAATGGGGCAGAGGGAAATTTATGAGGGTAATGGATCTCTCGGTCATTAAGCAAGCTCTCTTACTGGCATTTAAAAAAAAATCTATTTCAGGTAAGTGCAGCCAACAACAACCTCCACCCCCGTTACAAAATGTTCATCCAGAGGGAGCCAAAATAACTGAACAAATAATGAAAATAACAGTGGAAATTACCCTATTGTACTGTTAACATAAAGTACTGAGAAATACCAAGGACACAGTGATTTTCATGCCAGCTATCCAAATAGATCTTAGTAAATTTTCAGCAACTGCACTATCATAGCTTCTGGAATTTATGATGGAGTTTTCTTATTTTAAGGTGCCATTATTCATGGAAGGAGTACAAGAGTACCTGATAATAATTTTGCACTGCTAAGTCCCATGCTATACCTGTGGCAGGATTAATATCCTCAGTTCAGGGTAATAAAATCAAAACTCTGTGATTTGTCCTTTAATAAGAGAACTTAAGGTTCAGCTCCAGGCTGCTTACCATTTTCTGCTTTGAAGAGGTACCTTTTTAAAAAATGATTTCATAGATGTGAGGCTGATCTGGCTGTAACATCTGTCACCCCATTAATCACCAGGGTAGATTCAGCTGATCTGGCTAGTGAGGCCGGTGTCCCCTTCCTCCCTCACTGCTCCACGTGACTCCTTCCCGAAGCTGTGCCCTCAGTAGAAGAGGACGACCATCCACAATAGAAGGGGACTGGTCTTTGGTCAAGGGTGTAAGGGTAGCTGTGCTCCCCTGCTAGAACCTCCAAACAAGCTGTCAAGGTTCATAAACGTGATTTTGTTACAATTGTTATATGATCAATAATTGAGCTTCATCGTAATGGTGTTCAAAGATCCCTGCACTTTGGAGTCAGGGAGCCTCTATAGCAATCCCAGCTTTGAATGAGATTCTTCTAAGCTGTGTCTCAGCAAACATTTAACATCTACAGTGTTCTAGGTGCTTACAGAAGCCTTCCCTCACCGTGTTATACAGTACACCTCCCTTGCTCCAGTCCCACCCTTCAATTATCTCTATCACATTACCATGGTTTGTTTCTCTTGTAGCACTAATCACTATTTAAAATTAACCAGCTGATTTATTTCTTTACATATTTACTGCCCTGAATTAGAATATTAGCCACAAAAGGGCAGAGACCCTTTCCGTCTTATTTACCATTGGATCCCCAGAAGTTTCTGGCAAATGGTAGATGTCAATAAATAATAATCAAATTGACCAGTACACAATTTAAAGTCACTCCTGCTTCAGATCTAGTGAATACACTGTTCCTCCTTTAAATACTTAAACTTCATTATCACAAGCTAAGAAAGCAACTAAACAAAATTGTGAAACATAATATAGTCAAAGATTTCTAAATACCCCAGAAGTGTAAAATCTTGTATCTGGAAATGTTCATTGAGATAGTAGGCATTCTAGGGATATCATGGATGAAAAAGACATAATCTCTACCTGAAAGACTGTAAAGGTATAGTTTATGGGGAATGAGAGGGAGTGAAGAAGCTGGCCTGTAGACAAATTACAATATAATAAGTAATGCTGTAATCAAATGATAAACAAAGGGAAGAGTAAGAATTTCTACAAGGGAGAGCCAGGTTGCAATAAAAATTTTATTCTATTAAAGCTTATGTAAAATAATGACGTTCAAACATGGACTTGGAAACTAAAAAGAGAAAGGATTTCCAGCCAGAAGTCACAGCATGAGAAAAAGGCATCATATTAAATCTTCCTGATGTTTTTGATGAAAAAGCAATGGTAAATAAGAAAGGAAGGAAGGTGGTTAGTAATTTGGTTGCGACAGACCTTGATTATAGGGCTAATGAGTTAAGATCTGGTTTTTAAGTAATTAAGAATTACCTCACTCTATTTCTGATACTTCCAAAGAAACTGCAGAGGTGCCTATAATATAAAAAATAAGTAGATAAATGCAGAAGTCTGTGTATCACCAGATATTGCAAGTTCATCTCTAGAATATGTACTGCAGAACTGTGAGCGTGGGAGATCACTTCCAGAACCAAGCATATCCAGCATTTGGTGGATGTCCTCTGCTTCTGCACAGTGAAAATAATGTTTTTGAGGCCTATTTCCAAGCAGAAAGGAAAGATAATTAAGTTCCTTTCATACTACACGAGACAAGAGAAGGAAACGAAAACTAATGGAAAAACATTAAGGTTTTTACTCAAATCAGCTGCATCAGCAATTAAAATTCTACCACTGCCATGGACTTCTTCAGGTAGCAATGAGAACTCCATCCCAAGACATGGACAGAGGATGGAGTGATCATTTTCAAAAATATTTTTAAGGAGATTTAGGTGTCAAATTGTGACTTGAATTAGATGACTTTCTAAGCCCTTCCTGATGTTACGGTTCTATGTTCATTTATAGATCATCAAAGACTATTCAAATACAAAACACTTCCTATGCCAAGTGCTGGAAACAAAAAGATAGGTAGAACACAGTCTGGTATTTTAAAATAGTGCTTAAACTCTACAGTGTTGTCTCTGATTGTTCATACATAGGCAGGCGCATAGCTAAGCTGCTGGGCTTATCCAGCCATTTGCCGGGGTGATGGGTCACTGTGGTCACCACACAGAAATCAATTTTGTTTCTTTGTTGTTCGTTCCAGTGCCGGCTCCAAGATACACGGTGGAACTGGCTTGTGGCTTTGGAGCCACAGTCCTGCTAGTGGTGATTCTCATCGTTGTTTACCATGTTTACTGGCTAGAGATGGTCCTTTTTTACCGGGCTCATTTTGGAACAGATGAAACCATTTTAGGTAAGTAACAGAAATTTGACATAAACCTCTTGTACTGTCATCTTTAGAAAATATGTTGGGGAAAAAAAAAGAAAACATATTGATTTGAAAAACCTAAATTAACTGGAAGATTTAAGCCGGCTAACTTTAATTTCAGCCCTTGCTATTAAAAATCTTTCCAAAGATGATTATTCTGTTTTCTTGGATTAATTAGTGAGTTGGTCTAAATTAACACTGTCCAAATAGAAATATAATGCGAGCCACTTATCTTCTTAAAATTTCCCAGTGACCACATTTGTAAAAGCAAAAAGAAACACGTAAAAATAATGAATTGACTAAATATGTTTATAATACTATTTTTTAGCATGCAATTAATATTAAAAAGTTAATGAGATATTTTACAGTCTTTTTTTGGTACTAAAAATGTTCAAAATGTAAAATGTATTCTACTGTATCCTCATAGCACATTTTAATTCAAACCAGCCACATTTCGGTGAGCAATAGACTCGTGGCTCATGGCTGCTGTATTGGACAGTGCTGATCCACACTCCTTGTACTCAGACAGCGATCTGTGAACCAGCAGCAACATCATGTGTAGCTGATTAGAAGAAGAATCTTAGATCTAGCCGCTACTGACTCAGAATCTACATTTAAACCATATTCCCAAGTGATTCATGTGTACGTTGACATTTAAAAAGCACGGCTCTAGTGCAAATTTGCCTAGTGAAAAGAATAGAGCATTTAAACATACAAATTCGTAGGTCCACACCATAAAGATTTGAATTTAGTAGGCTTATGGAAGAAACACAGAATCGATAGTTTTTAATGAGATGTGATTTTTCTAATTAAGCAACTTTGTGAACGATCGGTCCATTAAATCTAATTATGTTTTTAATTTTAGTTCTTTTCAGATATAAATAATTCAGGCAGTTTCACAAAGTTTTGCTCAATTTGTAATTTTAATGTATTAATGAGTAATATGCTTGGACGGGAAGTTGAAATTTTCTGTACAGTGTTAATTGCCAGTCCCTATGATTTACCTTCTGGCTTTGTTAATTTACAGTTGAATGGGACAAACCTCACTCTTTTTCCACTATAAAGCAACCTGTAAGATGAGAGTTGAGGATATATCAGATAACATTCAAAATTATACCTTCAAATAATCGTTTTGCCTGGAGACTTGTTGCAAGTAGAAAATCGCACTGGAATCTGTCTCATAATGAAAATGTCTAATGTGCAGAAGTTAGATATAAGAAAAAAAGGTAATGGTATTAAGAAACTTTCCTAATTTGCATTGTATCCGTGTTCCTTTTACTAGATGGGAAAGAGTATGATATTTATGTATCCTATGCAAGGAATGCTGAAGAAGAAGAATTTGTATTACTGACCCTCCGTGGAGTTTTGGAGAATGAATTTGGATACAAGCTATGCATCTTTGACCGAGACAGTCTGCCTGGGGGAAGTAGGTATTTCAGATGAGTACAAATGATGCTACCTTGAAAGGCAGAGAGAATCATTAGTTTTGCATTATGGGTGAGAGTCGTGGCACAGCATCTTTGGATATGTAATGTCCGATGCTCTTTGATGTAACAGACTCCTCTAGAAATAAAACTACATTGGAAGATGTATACTATTCAACTCAGTTTATGGTATTAAAATATTTTCCCTTGTAATCTTTCAGAGCTGCATGTCAGAAAAGTGTGGAGGCACAGTGAATTAGAGCTCTATTAAAGGGCCATAGCTTTAAACAGCCTGTTTATTCACATTCAGATTTTTCAGTTTAGGCTAATCTGCAGTGGTTTGTCTAGAATTGTTTCGATTTGTTTTGTTTTTAGAAAGACAGAGGTTTACTTGGTTTTACTAAAACTGAGTAGCAGAAGAGTGTGTGTCGAATTTTTCCTTATGTGATTCACTGATAATAATTACGGTATTTTCCTATGGCATTTGCTCTCTTTTTTTCCCCATCACTTTTCTTTTCAAGCAAAATAGTGCTACTCAAATTCCCCTTTTCCTTGGGTCTGTTTCTTCTTCCTGTCAGCTTATATATTTGAGGGTTACTTTAAAATTTTATAAGAGCCAGTGTAACTAGAAGGTTTAAAAAAAGAAACAAAGAAATGCTTAAATTCTTGAACGTGTTAAAATAAAAGTACAACTGCTTTTTAGATCCACACAGCAACACACAAAGTAATTTTTCATTGGTGTCTTTTTAATAAATATATGTTACATTCCCAACCCCACTGTTAAACTTTGTCCTGTTGAATTGCTTGTAATATATCTAATCGTAAGCTTGACAAACCTATTTTATTCCTCTAAAATCCTGTTCACATTCATCATTTAACAGGTTTTTAAAAATATTTTTTGGATAATTGAGATAGACTTGAAATTTTATTCTCATTTCGATTTAGTTGGATCAGTTATTTTATCTTCCCAGTCATCATCCAAAAGTCCATCATAAGACATTTCTTTCAGTATAATTTTTCTAGGAAGTTATGACTTAATTATACAGTTAAAGGATAAATTCCACTCATTCTAATGCTTAATTTCCCCAATCATTCATTCACCCATTTGTTTGTTCATACAGCCGTTCAATAAATTCTTATCTACCATGGAACTGGGTAAGACCGTCCAATAGGGGTTGATAATTCTTTAAAGAATTCACATTCTACATGATTACTCTAAATCTTGCTTTTGTTAATTAGCTTTTGCACCCTTTTTTATTCTCCCTGCTGCTCTTACCCAATCTCTCTTCCCATGCTTACACATGCTCAGCCTCCAGTGCCACTGCTTGGAACACACAATCATTCCTGGATTCTCCTCCAGGCAGTGCATGCTAGATTTTAATTGCAAGACTTTCCCTACTGTTTCTGAGCCTGAGAAGATTAAGGGGCAAAATGACTTCATGAAGGAATATAGCAAGACATGATATAAGTTTCCACAATACTAGTAAGTTACCTAGAGTTGGCAACCATCTGAAATGCAGGTAAAGGACTATGCAATCCTGGATAAGCAACTGTGAGGAGATGGATTGGTTCCGAGAATTTAGTGACAGGAACTAATCAGGGCCCTTGACAGCAGAATAAAATTACATTGCATGTCCATTTTTCCTGCTTTTTCTTATTTTTTCCTTGAAGAAAGCATTTGCCTGTTAGTGCAAGTAGACACATCATCTAGCAGCTGCCGAAACACAAGGCTTTATAGTAATGATAGGAGTTTGAGGAGAAAGATCCAGCGATTAATTTAGGCTCCAGAGCAGGAAAAAGTAGAAAGCCAACCTGAAGATGTGTTACCAGCCAAAATGTCATTCAGTTGGCTAGATTTTTTTACGCTTCTATTCCAAAGACAGTGATATTGGAATCAGAGAGGTATCCAACAATAGAGAGGGACTTTCAGAAGATGAAGGTCCTTCCCTCTGTTGTCTTGTCCTAGCAAAAAATAAAATTCTATTGTTTTGATTATATAACATATATCTTTTTGAATGTCCATTTGGTTCTAGAGAGTTTATGCATGGGTTTCTTTGGGGAAGAAAGGGCTCATGAGCTGATGTGACTAGACCATAAGGAGCCACAAACATTGAAGAAACTGATTTCAGTATAATGTGTCTCCTTCTTGTGTCTCAAGTATTGCTTTTGAAGATCAAGGTCACAACAATACACTACCTTTTGGCTTCATGCCTGTTTGGAATTCTTTTTAGAAATATGTGTATATGGTTTCTGGTTTCCCTGAAGACAGTGGTATTTAATGGACAGAGTTTGCAGGTATAAGGATTAAGTTGTTCAAATTTTTGCTGGTAAAAAGTTTCACCTCAGTTCTTAGGCTGGTACCCTAAGTTCCCTACATTTATTCCTCACACCCCAATGCTTTTGGGGAGTTTTTGGCCAACACTAATCCCCATGGTTGTTTTCTTTCCCAGTTGTCACAGATGAGACCTTGAGCTTCATTCAGAAAAGCAGACGCCTCCTGGTTGTTCTAAGCCCCAACTACGTGCTCCAGGGAACCCAAGCCCTGCTGGAGCTCAAGGCTGGCCTAGAAAATATGGCCTCTCAGGGCAACATCAACGTCATTTTAGTGCAGTACAAAGCTGTGAAGGAAACGAAGGTGAAAGAGCTGAAGAGGGCTAAGACGGTGCTCACGGTCATTAAATGGAAAGGGGAAAAATCCAAGTATCCACAGGGCAGGTTCTGGAAGCAGCTGCAGGTGGCCATGCCAGTGAAGAAAAGTCCCAGGCGGTCTAGCAGTGATGAGCAGGGCCTCTCGTATTCATCTCTGAAAAATGTATGAAAGGAATAATGAAAAGGGTAAAAACAACAAGGGGTACTCCAGGAAGAAAGAGTCCCCCCATTCTTCCTTCGCAGTTTATGGTTTCTTAGGCAAAAATGATGGTCTAAGCCTCCCACTAGGGATAAATTTAGGGTGACTGTGTGGCTGACTATTCCGCTTCCTCAGGCAATACTAAAGTTTAGAATGATATTATCAACGTTCTGTCACCAGTCTGTGATGCCACTGTGTTCTTTGCAGGCAAAGACTTGTTCAATGCGACTTTCCCCTTCTACATTGTCTATCCCTGTTTTTATGTCTCTATTCTTTTTAAAATCTTAACATATGGAGCAGCCTTTCCTATGAATTTAAATATGCCTTTAAAATAAGTCACTGTTGACAGGGTCATGCGTTTCCGAGTATAGTTTCCTTTTTATCTTATTTTTACTCGTCCGTTGAAAAGATAATCAAGGCCTGCATTTGAGCTGAGGATAATGAACTTTTTTCCTCATTCGGCTGTGTAATACATAACCACAGCAAGACTGACATCCACTTAGGATGATACAAAGCAGTGTAACTGAAAATGTTTCTTTTAATTGATTTAAAGGACTTGTCTTCTATACGACCCTTGCCCTCATCTCAGGTAATTTGTGTAATATATGTAAACTTGAAAAATATTTCTTAATTCTTGTTTTTGCTCCAGTCAATTCCTGATTATCTGCAGGTCAACCCACATTTTTCATTCCTTCTCCCTATCTGCTTATATCGCATTGGTCCTTTAGAGTTTGCAGGTGGCTTCACACTTGGTTGAGTCTGAAAGAAAACCCCTTAATGGTGCTATAGAGAGGGAGGTAACAGAAAAACTCTTTTAGGGCATTTTTCTGACTCATGAAAAGAACACAGAAAAGGATGTTTGGCAATTTGTCTTTTAAGTCTTAATCTTGCTAATGTGAATACTGGGAAAGCAGTTTTTTCTCATTTGTTTTTGTTGCTCCATTGTGAAGTGTGGAGGTCAGACTTAGTGACCTTGAGAGTCGTTTTTGGCATTAATATTCTAAGAGAATTAACTGTATTTCCTGTCATCTACTCACTAGTGCAGGAAATACGCTTGCTCCAAATAAGTCAGTATGAAAAGTCACTGTCAATGAAAGTTGTTTTGTTTGTTTTCAGTAATATTTTGCTGTTTTTAAGACTTGGAAAACTAAGTGCAGAGTTTACAGAGTGGTAAATATCTATGTTACATGTAGATTATACATATATACACACATGTGTATATGAGATATATATCTTATATCTCTACAAACACAAATTATATATATATGCATATCCACACACATACATCACATATATCTGTGTATATAAATCCACATGCACATGAAATATATATATACATATATATAATTTGTGTGTGTGTATGTGTGTATGTGTATGTATATGACTTTAAATAGCTATGGGTACAATATTAAAAGCCACTGGAACTCTTGTCCAGTTTTTAAATTATGTTTTCACTACAATGTTTTTGTGTCAGTGTTTTCTGTACATATTATTTGTTAATTCACAGCTCACAGAGTGGTAGTTGTCATAGTTCTTGCCTTCCCTAAGTTTATATGAATAACTTAACTATTGCTACAGTTTTTCTGGGTTGCAGTGGAATCTGCTGTGCACAGAGCCTCCATGGTCACTGCTAAGCAGTAGCCGGCCATCGGGCATTCATTGATTTCCTACTCTATTCCCAGCAGACACATTTAGAAACTAAACTGTGTTCATCTCAGTGCTCAACTATTTGAACTGTTGAGTGATAAAGGAAACAAATATAACTGTAAATGAGTCTTGGTATCCTGTGAAACACAATAATTCATAATTTAAGAAAGCCCTTATCCCAGTAGCATGAATGTTGATGAACGAATGTAAAATTATATCCTATATTTAAGTGCCCTTCATCACTATTGAAGTTCATAATAAATCATTTCCCTATATAAGTGTTATTGATTATTTTAAATTGAAAAAAGTTTCACTTGGATGAAAAAAGTAGAAAAGTAGGTCATTCTTGGATCTACTTTTTTTAGCCTTATTAATATTTTTCCTTATTAGAAACCATAATTACTCCCTCTATTAACCCTTCACTTACTAGACCAGAAAAGAGCTTATTCCAGATCAGCTTTGAATATCAATTCTTACATAAGCTTTAGGCAAACAGGGAATAGTCTAGTCACCAAAGGACGATTCTCTTGCCAATGCTGCATTCCTTTTGCACTTTTGGTTTCCATATTTATCCCAAATGCTGTTGGGCACCTCTAGAAATGCCTTGATGTTTTTTCTATTTATATTCCTGCCTTTGGTACTTAATTTTACAAATGCTGTAATATAAAGCATATCAAGTTTAAGTGATATGTATCATTGCAAGAGAATTTGTTTCAAGATTTTTTTTAATGTTCCAGAAGATGGCCAATAGAGAACATTTGAGGGAAATGGGGAAACATACTTGTAATTTAGAGAACAAGAACAAAACATGTCTCACATTTTTTTTAAAAAAACTTAATAGTTTTCAATAGATGCTATAAGGACCTTCCATGCCCAGGTTAACAAAGAACTGTGATATGTAGAGTATCTAATTACAAAATCATACAACATTTGTTTAATTCTCTTCTGTATTGTAACTTAGATGATTCCCAAGGATTCTAATAAAAAATCACTCCATTGTATTGGGAAACAAAAACATCATTCGTTAATTACTTATTTTCTTTCCATAGGTTTTAATATTTTGAGAGTGTCTTTTTTATTTCATTCATGAACTTTTGTATTTTTCATTTTTCATTTGATTTGTAAATTTACTTATGTTAAAAATAAACCATTTATTTTCAGCTTTGAATTTTATTTTGTGCACGTGTTTTATGTCTTTATTTTCACATTTGGTCATAAATGAAAACAGAAAGAATTGATTATTATACTCACAAAGAAATATGAGTCACATTAGTTAAGTTTCATTCTGAGATAAATCTGAGCAAAATGGGAACTTCATATCAAGAACATTTTCTTTACATGTAAGTAAAAGTTACTTAAGTAAAATGAATTGCTCCAGAATACTAGGACATATTTTGTGGGTATATATGTGTTTATGTGTGTATATGTATGTGTATGTGTATGTGTATGTGCATGTGTATGTGTATGTGTATGTGTATGTGCATGTGCAGAGAGACAGAAAGACCGTCAGAAAGACGGAGAGATACGGAGAGACAGAGAAAAAGGAGAGAAAGATTATTTTAAAACAAAGGAAAACAAGCTTATTCCTTTTTACTCAACTTGGAACTTAGGTAGCTTACAGGAATCTTTTTCGTCTAATAGGCTTTAATGCAATCCCATGGTAGTTGCTTTGGAAATAGATAAAATAAAAATAATGTCATGACTTCAATTAATTGATGATCATTTGAATCAAAGATGCATTTCTGTCACAAATTTTGAATAAATCAGTGATATTTGGAAACATATTTTATTTTCAGTTAGTAATACAAGTCCATAGTGATACGAATGCCTTTTTGCTTTTAAAAAAATCCCTGGCCAGGCGCATTGGCTCACGCTGTAATCCCAGCACTTTGGGAGGCAGAGGTGGACGGATCAAGAGGTCAGGAGATCGAGACCATCCTGGTCAACATGTTGAAACCCTGTCTGTACTAAAATACAAAAAATTAACCAGGCATTATGGTGTGCGCCTGTAGTCCCAGCTACTTGGGAGGCTAAGGCAGGGGAATCACTTGAACCTGGGAGGCGGAGATTGCAGTGAGCTGAGATTGCACCACTGTACTGCAGCCTGGTGACAAAGCGAGACTTCAGGAAAAAAAAAAAATCCTATTTGTTCATTTTACTGAGCCCCATAACATACTCAGAATTGGTTAGCTTAGTAAAAATTTTTCTACTGAAGAATTAATTTTCCTCTTGCAAACCAGTCCCGAAAGTGTAGGCTTAGGATCAACAGATCAAAGTTCCAAGGAAACAGATTTCTTCTCAGTTAGAAAATAGCTATAAAGCAGAATTCGACACTGATGGAATTCACTATCTTTGGAAATATAGGTCTGCCATTACCAGAGGTATACAAGCAGTTACTTGATACATTTTCATTGAGATTTTGTATATGAGTTTTTTGCATTGGATAAGTGGTTTTGAGTCTGAAATTGTTTCCAACTCTGAACATGTTAAGTGACCTATTAGAACATACTGGTGACTCTTTGGAAGATTCAACTTCAGCATTTTGCATATGATCTACCTGGCTGTGATTAACCTTCCTTAAACTCTCAAGATATTTTTTTCCATTATATACTGACGTCACTAGCTCTTTAATGCAAGTAAATGCACAAAATGGTATGAGAGATGCATTTAGCAGCTAGTCTATGTTATTTCTCTGTGATTTATGCAACGTGTACTGTGTGCTAGAAATTTACATGTAGGCATCTAATTTGTTTATCAGTCCTACAAGTTTATCATATGCATTTTATAGATGGATGAACTAGGACTCAAAAGATATTAAGATAAAAATAGAGATAAATGGAGAAAGCAATATTTGAAACCACATCCAGTTTCCAAGTTAAATATTTCCTTTTTTCTATACTTCAAGTTTTAAGAGAGAAAATGAAAGAGACAGAAGTTTGCTGTTCTTTTATCTACTAATAACTCATCCAGAGGAGAAAAAAAAATTACAGTCCTAGTTTTCTTCTAAGTGAACTCCATGGAAATTATGACTTTTACAGGCAAGAGCATTCTTGAGTATTGAAGAGTTCTCAGTCATACAACATGACTTCAAAGCCAATTTGGTACCACAAAAGAAAAGTGATCTCATTATTATATGGCCATACCTCATTTTTTGAGCCAAATAGAATAAACAGGCTACATTACTACTCCTTCTCCAAGTAAACTTTAGCATTAAAAAATAATAGCTCCTATCTTCAAATATGAAGTTTTGACAATATGGAAGGTATTTTTTAAATATGCTATAAAGTATACAACTTCCTTTACAGTATCAAGTGAAGATCCTTCAGTATAGCCCAAGACTTTTCTGAGAAGCATCTTCTACCTTTGTTCCTCATTGTCTAAAATTCCACCACTCTTATCTGCATTTAGCATTGTCTTTTTTCAAATCTAAATGTTCTTACTTTCTGGATGGAGTACCAATAAAAAAATAAAAAAATAAAAATAAAAATAAAAAAAGAGCAACAGACTCAAAAGACATGTTTTAAGAAGATCTGGAACAGTGTTGTATTTTAAACAACAATATTCCTATTGGCAAAAACATACATTTTCCTAAGGTGACTATTCTGAAGTGAAACATCACATCACACGCACACACACATTTGCATGAATTCTCTTTGTTGACAAGCTAGCCATGTTGCCTTAAGGTTATTTCACATTTCTCAGGAGCCGGGAGAAGCAGTAGACGTCCCACTTTCGTATTCTCTGATTTATGGGAGGCAGCCTCATAAGATTCTCAGTAGGACTAGAGGGGACCGAGGAGTTACTAAAACACATGCACATGTGCACACACTCATACACACAGAAGGATTTTAATGATAAGTGAGAATTTTTATTTATCTCTTAAGAATGAATGAAACAAAATGTCTCTAAAAACATTTTTGCACTCTTGGTTAAACCAATCAAAAGTTCTCAAAACTTGAGCACATGTCTCTCCAATTTCCCTTCAAATTCATGTTAAATCCACTGATTGAAAGACAAACAAACAAAAAACCAATAATCTGTAAGAAGCACAGCTCCCTTATTCCCTGTCAAGTTCACAATGACCAATGCAAACTTTCAGTCTGTCTTCAAAGGCTGAAAGTCTCTCCATTACTGTTTCATCCCTAGACCAAAAGCAGAGGTGTTCACCCTCACAGTGTGACTCTGGCACATGTTTTCAAAGTTATAAATGGCTAGGATTTACGATTCAATTTTGAATTTTTTTCTTTCAGGATATGGCATGTTCTAAGCTCCTGAATCTCATAGTGAGTTAAGCATTACATTTATTTGAAGAACTTTCCCTTGGAATCTGTCCAAATCCACCTTGATAACATTAGAATTGAATGGTTTGCCAGAAGTCTTAGCTGCTTGACAAATTCTTACCCATTGTCATTGTTTTTGCCCCTTTAATTCCAATTCTTCACACACACACACACACACAGAGAGAGAAAGAATTTAATTGATAACAAGATAAATACTATGAACCACTATGAACTGTCTGATGTTGTGTCCAAAAATGTTAAGTATCAAAGGGTGTAACTGAGAATCTTAGGAGGTGATAAGTCTTATTGCTCTTTGCTGATCAGACTATGTCAGGAGCATTATGTTCACTCCTGTTCATAATACTACTCTTAGGAGACACATCTATAAACTGAACATTATCCAGAGGAAAATGGTAAACATGCAGAGGAAATGTTAGACCATGCCATTTATGGAATAAGAGAAATATCCTGAAAATATTTAATCTAGACATAAGAAGAAAATACTACAATGATATAAAAATAGTTATCAAATATTTTAAACATTTAAAGACTCAAGATCTGACCACCAGATAAAATTTGCAAGGAAGAAGATATCAAAACAAGAAATAATTTGTAAACGGAGCTGAAATGACTTGCTTTTGAGGGTGGTTAATATTCTGATGGTAGTTAATTGCCCACCGTGTGTGTGTGTGTGTGTGTGCGCACACGTGTGTGTGTTTTAAGAAAGACATTCAAGAAGGAGACTACTGCAATGAGGGTTTTGCAGTAGGAGAGAGAGACTGAGCTCAACTACCATACCATCTTTGAAGGCAGTAAATTCTTAGCAACCATTGGTAAGAGTGGTGCAGAATTTTTTGACTGGGTAAATTATTCAGCACTGAGATTCTGTCGTCTCAGGTGTTTGTTCACTGCCTGTCCTCTGGAAGATGGACAATAACGAACTGAAATATATGTAAGTTTTCACTATACATTATCCTGTATTTCCATTTTTCTATAGATACAGTGGAAGCAGTTTTTGATTTCATTCAGAGAAGCAGAAGGATGATTGTTGTCCTGAGTCCTGACTATGTGACAGAAAAGAGCATCAGCATGCTGGAGTTTAAACTGGGTGTCATGTGCCAGAACTCCATTGCCACCAAGCTCATTGTGGTTGAGTACCGTCCCCTTGAGCACCCGCACCCAGGCATTCTTCAGCTCAAGGAGTCTGTGTCTTTTGTGAGCTGGAAGGGAGAAAAGTCCAAACATTCTGGCTCTAAATTCTGGAAAGCTTTGCGGTTGGCTCTTCCACTGAGAAGTCTGAGTGCCAGTTCCGGCTGGAATGAGAGCTGCTCTTCCCAGTCTGACATCAGTCTGGACCACGTTCAAAGGAGGAGAAGTCGTTTGAAAGAGCCCCCAGAACTTCAGAGCTCAGAGAGGGTTGCAGGTAGCCCTCCGGCCCCAGGCACAATGTCCAAACACCGAGGGAAGTCCTCTGCCACCTGCCGCTGTTGTGTCACCTACTGTGAAGGAGAGAATCACCTTAGGAACAAGAGCCGGGCAGAGATTCATAACCAGCCCCAGTGGGAGACGCACCTCTGTAAGCCTGTTTCCCAAGAGTCAGAAACTCAATGGATACAAAATGGCACCAGATTGGAACCCCCTGCTCCCCAGATCTCAGCCCTTGCTCTTCACCATTTCACGGACTTATCCAATAACAATGACTTTTATATCCTATAATTACTGTGTGTGGTGGGTGGTGGCTGCCATCTCTACCAACCCTCTGTATGTCATGAACCTGTGGGAAAACCTGACATTTTAATCATCTAATGGACTATCAGATTTCTGTCCCCTTTATTGATTTTTAAAAACTGTTTATTTCTAGGAGACAAAAGACCTGAAGGACCTGAATCCAGAATTATTGCCTCTAATGGCCTCAGAAGAGCACACTCTTCTTGGGCCCTAGAAGGTCAGTATGTGAAAGTTGCCTAAAGTCTGATCCTCTATCTTGTCCAATGGTTTAAAACTGAGCTAAGAATTTAAATATGTTTCTTTTCAGTGTGTTGATCGACCTCACGTTATAAGTCAGGCAGGTGTACTTGGGCTATGATACTTACAGGGTGTATGCATTCCCAGGGAGCAGCATGGAGAGGAGCTGGTTCTGGTGGAAGCTGTAGGACGAAGCTCAACAGAAAACCTACAGCACATTTTTCCTCAAAGAACCAAACATACCCACCCAGGGATACGTGGTGTTCTCTGTCTCACTGTAAACTAGTGTTCTCTAAACTTCCTAACGTTGTTAGCATCAATAAAATTCTATTTTTACGTCATTTTATTTGTACTAACAAATTTTTACATCTCTCTCACCCTTCTACTTTCTATGATTGTTGTATTCTTATCTGGAGAGTTTTCCATTTCAGGAAATTGAGATTTGGTTTAGGTACCAGAAAAAGTAAGGTGCCTTTTTTGGTTCTCTCTGACATGTAATGGGAGAGATGTGGAAAACAACCCAAAGAGAGGGAGAACGTGACTTAAATGAAATGGAAGTTTACAAGAATCTCGTATTTTTAGAACTGACAGATGAAAAAATCAGTATTGTTAGGAATGTAGCGTAGAGATGGGTGCCTCTTCCCATTCAGGCTTCTGAGAAGGGATAGTAAATTCAAGTGCCTACAAGGATCAGAAGGTAAGAAAAAAGAGTAAATGTGGCCAGATATCAGCATATTTTACATCCTCTCCATCTAGAACCGATGTGAATAGGGACATAGGCACAGATAGTTATTTCTTCTCTGTCAACATTTTCATAAACTCATGAAAGGCACATGGCATTTGATTTTCAAGTCAGGTAGATCATTGGGCTTCTAAGGCACTGAAGAACACATATTGCTTCAAAAGGGTCAGCTTCAGGCCGGGCGTGGTGGCTCACACCTATAATCCCAGCACTTTGGGAGGTCAAGTCGGGGGGATCACCTGAGGTCAGTTGTTCAAGAGCAACCTGGCCAACACGGTGAAACCCCCTCTCTACAAAAATACAAAACTTAGCTGGGCATAATGGCAGGTGCCTGTAATCCCAGCTACTCAGGAGGCTGAGACAGGAGAACTGCCCGAACCCGGGAGGCAGAGGTTGCAGTGAGCTGAGATTGTGCCACTGCACTCTAGCCTGGGCGACAGAGTAAGGCTCCATCTAAAAAAAAAAAAAAAACAAGGCAGCTTCTACTCAGTTCCATTTGATTGTTGCCACTAATCAAGCCCCAATGTTGCCATATTGTCCATTTTTTTCTAGAGAATCTCAAAAATCCAGATTTTTATGTATAGTGTCAATTATGGGATGGCTTAAAGTTAAGAAGGAAACAAACAAAAAAAGAGCCAAACAAAATATATCTGTGGGCCATAGTCAGCCTGAGGGCAGCTAGTACGTAACTTCATAACTAAAGTATTCAGCCGAAGAACATATCTCCAAATGGAATTCAAGTGTCCCTGGTAACACCGGAACTGGAAGACACAGGTTGGCTCTAAGGACATAGTGAAGCATGTTTATGCTCTCCTCAAATGGAAGACATCTGGGCTGTTACAGTTGAGCTGATCTGACCTAACCCTCCATTAGAAAAGAAAAAGCTAGAAAATAGGGTGCCTTCCATTTACTCTTTAGAGGCTTCTTGCCTTTTACCATCAGAAAATAAGAAGCACGAAGTCTGCTACTCCTGAGCAGAACCAAAAGAGCAAGAGACCACACCTTACATGAGAAGTCACCTGTAACACGTTAGCCGTGGCTGTTAGTGAGCTGTGGCCCAGTCAGTGTCAGTGACTCCCAGTCAGTAACAGTGAATGGGCAGTGGAGAAAGAAAGAAAGCAGGTTCATTTCACTACCCCTCTTGAAAAGGTTCTCAGAAGATCCTTTCTCTGTTGAAACTGAAAAAAACTAGAAGATTCCTACTCCAAAGATGGGGGAACGAGGGTCCTCTAGAGTAAATGTGACTCACAATGAAACTTGTAATTAGAAAATGGCAGGCCACCCTAACTAAATATCTAGCGGAAAATGACTTAGCACAACCCAAAGGCCTTGTCCTCTATTATATCCCTTCTCGTAAAGAGTAATCTATCCTTGATGTATATTCAAGGACCTTCACTTGGAAGACAGAGAGCAGTTTCTCTCCAAATCTGTTAATAATGGGTAATGTAAGTGGCTCCAAAGCTCCAGGAGGGAGAAGATTCTTGGATCTACTATTAGTGTTATTCCTTATTGACACAGCATCTCAAATTGTAAAATATCTTTGGAAAAAAATGAGAAATTAAATTTTTCATTTATAAATTATTTTCTTTTTTAGTGAAGAAAAAGAAATGAAAGAACTAATGGCAGAGGCATGGAAAATTAAACATGAGCTCATATTATATGAGTAGCTAGATCATTTTGGTGCTCTCAGAACTACATTTTGGCAAGTATCAATTTCCTTGAACAATGTAAGTGTAGTGGAAGCAGTAAAAGTCTTAGTTTTCAGCATTAGTTTTACAAGGGTCAGAAAGGTAATGGACTATACTTCTACTGTGTGGAGAAAGGCTAAGAGGTTATATTAGTATTTCTTGACCTGACATGCCACAGTTGAATGTGATATTCACTTCCATATGTTTCAATGAGGCAAATTATAATAAGAAAGACATTTTTTTCATGGGCCATGCATATCCATAATAGAAATAACAGGATTGTAGGATAAATGGATTTATCATTGCATAAGAAATTGTCTACTTAGTTGCATGAGTTTTAAGTCAAGTAGAGATGGATATGAGTCCTATTTCTCTTCTATCTGTTTGAACATGGTCTCTCTGAGCCTTTAGCTAGCCCTTACTAGCTAAAATAAAGATGCTATTGTTAACCTCATTGGATGTTGAGGGCATTAAATGATATATTATACATTTATTTCATATGCCTCACCTTTTAAAAACTCTTATAAAATGTCCAAAAGCAGTATAGAACAGGAACATATTATCCAGGTTAAGTGACTTTCCTAGTGACACTCAGCCAATTATCAACAGGGTTGAGTCTCCAACCCAGACTCTGACACTTGATCCAGTGCCAATTCTAGAACCATACATGTAAGATTGAAGGGGAAGTAATTCTGTTACAAAGCTACCTCAATGGAATTATTTAATCTGGGCCATAAAACATTCAAGTAAAAAAAGCAGTTAATGTAAAACCCACACACAGCTAATTAAATGTTATATTAAGGGTCTGATAGATCATCTGACCTTGTCATATTATAATTTTAGTTGGCTTCATTTTTAAATGTTATAAACCTTCTTAAAGCATTTAAAAGATAGAATTTTTTAAATGTCCTCTAGACTCTATGATAATGCTATATTTTTTTCCTTCAAAATACGTTATTTGTATTTTTCTTGGTGGAAAATAAAAATATATTCCCAATTTACCTTGAAAAACAAATTTTTTTTGGCAGTTATGATAAAAACTGAATTTCTTTTTTTTTTTTTTTTTGAGACGGAGTCTCGCTCTGTCACCCAGGCTGGAGTGCAGTGGCCGGATCTCAGCTCACTGCAAGCTCCGCCTCCCGGGTTTACGCCATTCTCCTGCCTCAGCCTCCCGAGTAGCCGGGACTACAGGCGCCCGCCACCGCACCCGGCTAGTTTTTTGTATTTTTTAGTAGATACGGGGTTTCACCATGTTAGCCAGGATGGTCTCGATGTCCTGACCTCGTGATCCGCCCGTCTCGGCCTCCCAAAGTGCAGGGATTACAGGCTTGAGCCACCGCGCCCGGCCAAAAACTGAATTTCAGAGTTACCTTCTCCTATAACTATTAAGAACTCTAGAAACAATGTATTCACTCCCAGATTGAAGATTTGAAGTGGTTGAGAAAACTAATGTTTTCATTCAGAAAAAGTCATGAATAATAAACTGAACTAATCATAAAGATATGCGCAGAAGGATAAGCAATTTATATGGCATTGGTTTAAAACTTTCGTGCATCTAAGAGTAACTTCAGGGACATGTTACAATGAAGTCCCAAGGCAGGCCCTTCCCCAGAGAGACCAATTCATTAGGTTGTGGACATTGTCTAGAAGTCTGTATTTTTATATTGTGCTCTTGATAATTAAATAAGGCATTTCATGGGTCAATGTTGGAAAACTACTACCTATGAGAATTCTTTCAAACTCTTCCCATATTTTCTGTATTATTGTTCAGTTTGTAAGGGAAAAGAGCCTCAATTAGGAGCTTGCCCAAGCCTTCCTGAAGTGTATTCCTTAATGTATCCATGTTGGAACCATTTGGGGCTGATATTAAAATGCATGTTTCTTGACTCCATCCAAGATTAACTGAATGAGGATCTCTGATGTAGGGTGGATCTGCACGCGGAATAACTTTCCCAGGTGATTCTAATGCAAAAAGAAAAAAAAAAAAGAACCATTAATTTTTCTCTCTCTTTAACTCCTCTTTTACCCTTGTAGGCTCTGATTTTCTCCAGCCAAGGACTACAAATCATCTTAACAAGGTGTTTGCAGGCAATAGATGAAAATGTAGGGCATGTTTAGCCCTTGAAGTTGCCTCAGCACAAGGAAACAGTTGAATAGATGATTAGTAAAATGTATTTATTATATATGAAATATCAATCAGTGACATTTGGAACCTGGTGGGATTGCTGTAGTCATCATATGTATTAATCAGAATAAGATATGCTATGTCATGCTAACAAAGAACCTCAATATTTCAGTAGCTTCATATAACAAGACTTATTTCTTGTTTATGCTACATATCCAGCATAGGAGCTTACATTTTTTTTTTTTTTAGACGGAATCTCGCTCTGTCACCAGGCTGGAGTGCAGTGGCCGGATCTCAGCTCACTGCAACTTCCACCTCCCGGGTTCAAGTGATTCTCCCACCTCAGCCTCCTGAGTATCTGGGACTACAGGTGTGCATCACCACACCCAGCTAAATTTTTGTATTTTCGGTAGAGACGGGGTTTCACCATGTTGGCCAGGATGGTCTCGATCTCTTGACCTCATGATCTGCCTGACTCAGCCTCCCAAAGTGCTGGGATTACAGGCGTGAGCCACCGCGCCCAGCCCAGAGCTTACATTTTTTTATGCTTTGCCATCTGAAATGTGTGGCTTTCTGTTGTGCTAGGCTTCAGCTGAAATATGACACTCATTACTTTCACTTACAATTCATTAGCCAGAACTAGCTCCGAGGTCCTGCTTTAATCATAAAAAAGGACAGAAAATGTAGTTTTCCTATGCCTCGAAAGAGAAAAATGAAATGAACTTGATGAATACATACCGTCATCTTTGTCTACAAATGTGATGAGAATAACATATTTCGGAAGCCTGAAGAGGTAAGAAATCTTCAAACTGAGATATGTCACATACTTTGATAATGAAAAAAAAAAGAACTTTGCTACCAGCACTCCACCTGAGTTTGCCAAGGTATCAAGATAAAACAGCATGCAGAAAAGTACACCTTGTTTGTAAGTGTTCCCCAAAGAAAAGTTGTTGAAGGAATGCATAATAATAATCACAGCTTCTGGCTAAGAGAAAACATGCTTAAAAATTTGAAAGTTACTGTATTTGGTTACCTACCATTCAGTAGCTTTAGTTAGTTCCCTAAGAATGTGATGCTCAAACGATCTGTAAATGAGCCATTTCATTTTGGATATCAAAGGAGCCTCAGAAGAAGTGAAGACATTTAGAACACAGCAGAGCATGTAACACAGTCATTAGAAAGCATCCCTTGATCCATTTATCTGAAGAGCTAAATAGGGGATTCAACATGAACGTGCTGAAGCTCAAATGAAGGAAGAGACAAAACTGGTGTGAGTATTACGAAGTCTGTGGTATCTGTGCATCTGCTCTCTCTACCTTTGGATTCCCTCTGATTGTATTAAAGATTTGAATTTTTATATGACTTCTCTAATGTGTATGGAATCATTTGATCATGAAAAAAGACTCTCTTTGGTTTGGCAAGGATTAGCGCTTAATGAATCTTGGTCTATGTTACTAAGTTATAATGTTGAACCAAAAAAACTATTATTTCTTAGTGTAGCAAGGAGATTACTGACACACTCAAAATCCCTTAGAAAATAATTCACAAAGTTTTTTTCTTGAATAGTTTAATCATTTCAAAATATATAAATGAAAAAAATGACTTTGAAATTAGCTCATGGGAAGAAAGAAGATTCAAACTAAACTTTGAAATCAGATCATGAGCTGTTTTTAACTTAACTCACCCAGGTAATGGGGATTTTAATACTTCATTGCTTTTTTTTAAAAAAAGAAAAAATGTATGTATATTTAAGACTCAAAGACATATATAACATAATAATTTTCTACTGTCAAAAACTGTATCACATGCTTGCAATTCATTTATCATTCAGCATTGTGTTTTGAAATACCTTGGGCAAGTGGTTCTTAACTAGAATTGAATATCATCTTTTAAAAAATTACACATATCTGGGGTCCATCTCAATCTACTAAATCTCCCATATTGATCTAGATATGTGCTCTGATATAGGAAAACTGTCTTAAGTTTGCATATGTTTCAATGAGAAATAAATGATGTTACATAATAAATACATATTTAAAAGATAAAAGAACTACTAATATTGTAAATAATCATTTTCTTAATATACAAAACTTAAAACTCATTGCCAAATACTGGAATTGAATCATTTATTTTCATATCTTATTATGAAATTACATAAAATATGAGAACACAAAATAAAGATAATAAAATGAGAGAAATAATCAGTGTAGAGACTGAATTGGGTAGCCAAAGGAGGCCAGAACTCTAGTATTTATGATATCCGTATCATTAGTTGTCTTAAACAGGACAAAGTGTTTATGAGGAAATGGTTTTGGACAAAGACAAATGACTTCTAAGAACAGCCAAAAGGGAAAAGGGGCTGGATGTGGTGGCTCATGCCTGTAATCCCAGCACTTTGGGAGGCCGAGGTGGGAAGATCATCTGAGGTCAGGAGTTCGAGACCAGCCTGGCCAACATGGAGAAACCCCATCTCTACCAAAAATACAAAAATTAGCTGGGCATGGTGGTGGGTGCCTGTAATCCCAGCTACTCAGGAAGCTGAGGCAGGAGAATCGCTTGAACCTGTGGAGCAGAGGTTGCAGTGAGCCGAGATTGCGCCATTGCACTCCAGCCTGGGTGACAAGAGCAAAACTCCGTCTCAAAAAAAAAAAAAAAAAAAAGAAAAGAAAAGAAAAAAGAAAAAAAGGGAGAATAGAAAAATATTCTTCACTCATTTCCAAGTATCAGTAATGTAAAAGGGAAGCAAGATGTGTAAAATCTTTCTAATATCAGGCCATTATAGCTATAATGTGCAGTGAGTGTCAGGGAATAAAGTTGGTGATTTCTATTGTGTTCTTGATATATTAAAATGGAGTCAGAAGATTTGAATTGGAATACTAATTGTACTAACTGTGTGACTTTCAATAGCATACTTTTGCTCTCAAGTTCTCGGTTTCCTCATATATAAAATGGGAATCATAGAATATCTACCTCATTGGATTGTCGTAAGGGTAAAATTATATCATAAATGTAAATCTCAAAAAACATGTAAAACACATGCTTGGCAGTGGTATTATTTTTGTCGTTAGTTGTTTATTATAAGAGAAATGTGGAGGAAATGAAGAGATCTGAGAGAAATTCCTTAACCTGTTAAATGCTGGAGAACTTTTCAGAGCACATGGTCCAATCTTTCGTACCTAAAAACTTTAGTGTATGTTTATACACACACTATGTATAAACATAGTGTATAAACATAGTGTATAAAAACTTTAGGTACGAAAGATTTAGTACAGTTTCATATCACTCTAAGGGGTGGAGACTACAAAAAAAAATCATAGTCCTGAAAAAGT